TAAAACTGCTGATTGGAGTTGGTAATTTTTTAGGCTATCTTGTTTTTTAACACCCAATTTTATCAGTAATTGCAAAGTGCATTATATATTGTGTGTGTTGTGTTTACAGGTTTTCATGATTGGGTGTATAAACCTTGTTAGATAAAAAGAAAGGAATAAAACTCAAAGTGCCCCTGTTCTCAGTGCCGTTTTGCCACTATGGAATGGGAGAGGTTCTGCTTATTGTCCCATAAGCAGGGGCTACTTACAGGGTGGGAAATGGGGCAGGGGCTTCTCAGGGGTGGCACCCTTTTAAATGGTAAAGCTAAAGGTAAAGGGACCCCTGACCATTAGGTCCAGTTGTGGCCGACTCTGGGGTTGCGGCGCTCATCTCGCTTTATTAGCTGAGGGAGCCGGCATACAGCTTCCGGTTCATGTGGCCAGCATGACTAAGCCGCTTCTGGCGAACCAGAGCAGCACACGGAAACGCCGTTTACCTTCCCGCCGGAGTGGTACCTATTTATCTACTTTGACGTACTTTTAAATGGTACTCTCTTCCTAATGAGAGATTCACCTGCTCCCCATATTACATACATTCAAGGATTTGAGATGTAAATATCACTTCTGTAGACTTGGCTGCTGTTCTTCACCATTGCCGTGTTGTCGTATTATGTATTGCTAAGAGCTCCGTTATTACTTTTTCAGTTTTTCCACTAGATTCTTTCTATTGCAAGGTGCCCCCATAACTCCCCATGAGGTGCAAGAAAAGAATGAGACTATTAATCTCATGGGTCATCAGTTCAAGCCCCAGGTTGGGCAAAAAAAATCCTGCTTTGCAGAGCATTGGACTAGATGATCCTCTATAATTCTAAGAACAATTAATTAAGTAAGCAATCAAACAAACAAATAAATAAAACCTCTTGACTATGCTTGGAGAAACTGCTGCTGCTGTGATTACAAAACTGAGCCAAATGCAATTTCTTTCCCTTTCCTTGAAGCAGAGGTCCTACCGCTTCTCTTTCTTCCTCAAAAAAAAATAATAGTTGGATTGCAAGCCGGGCAACCAACTGGGGAAGCTTTTCGCAAGTCTGGAGACAGAGGCGCTTTGCAGTGCGAGACGGTAGGCGCTTCACCTGCCGAACTTATCTTTCTTTGTGTGCCTCTCTTGCAACTGTTTTAAAACCTGTTGCTGCTGTTCTCGTTGTTCGAAGTAACACCACAACTTCGCGTTCTGGCATCAAACTAATCATAAAGTTCCAGGGTGATGGGACGACGGGTGTGCAAAAAACACAGGGAAAACGGTGCACGCGCAAAGAGCCCCCCCCCCACCATCAGAGAGAGAGAGAGAGAGAGAGAGAGAGAGAGAGAGAGAGAGAGAGGTGAATTCCTCGGAGCGCAGGAGACCCCCAACTCCACGCGCGGAGAAAATCGCTCCTCCTCGTCCCAGACAAAGGAGCCCGTCGGCGCCACCCTGGAGCTGTCTGCTAGGCGCAGGGAAGGTGGGGAGGGAAGGAGGAGGGAGAAGCGACTAGATTTCTCCCCCCGGGGCAGGAGGGGAGGAGGGGAGGGGGTCCAGGGAAGAGGAGAGAAAGAGGGAGGGGGGAGGCCGGAAAGAGGGGAGGGGGGAGGCTTGGCTTTCCAGCGGCTGAAAAGGAAGCCAAGCCTCTCCCTCCGGCCGCCCCCAAAGTACAAAAGCAGAGAAAGAGAGAGCCGGTGGCGGGACTCCTTCATCGGCCGGGACCATGGCTGCCTCCTGCCAGAGCTGGCTCGCCAACGAGGGCAGCAAACACCTCCTTTTGGTAAGAGGGACCTTTGCCTTTCGGGGGTGCGCGCAGCCTCGCCGCCTCCATCGCAAGGATGTTGCTCTCGCTGCGCTTGCGCGCGAGAGATGCTCAGAACCTGCCCATGCTCAGGAGCGCTCTTGCCCTTTCGCCCCACGCAGGGTTGGGTCCAAGCCCTGCTCGGGAACGCCGAGCTTGGAGCCGTCCTGTGTGGGGAAAGGCCAGGAAGTAGAAAAAGGGGAAAGGAGAGACCGCTCCTGAGCATGGGCAGGTTCTGAGCATTACTCGCAGGGTCACAGGGTGAGGATCAATGCTTTTGATTGAAATCTAATGGAGAAAACCATCTCTGCCTCCCTTCTGGAAGGCTCATAGCTCATTGACAGAGCAGTTGCTTGGCATGTAGAAGGCCCCAGGTTCATCTCCAGGTAGGGTTGGGAAAGACTTCTGAAACTTTGGAGAGCTTCTGCCAGCCTTGATACTGAGCTAGATCAGCCAAAGACCTTACTGGATACAAGACTGGTTCCTGTGTTTATTTCCCCACATAAATCAGCTTGCATTATTCCCAAAACAGGCCTGCAAGGTAGGTTAACATTACTGCCCCTCACATTTCTTCCCTGGTCTTTGACACCGGAAATGTCTGTTTTTAGGACCCACCCTGTAAGTTGTTTAAAACCATTTTTAATGTTGTATTTTTATTATTATTGTCATCTGCCCTCAGACCTTAGGGTGAAGGGAGGTTATTAATAAAGTAAAATCGTCACCATCCTAATTGCAATGTCAGAATGAGAGGCTTGCCTAACAACACAGTCCTAGACAGGGCTGCTCAGAAGTAAGTCAGTGGGTTCAATGGGGCTTACTCTCAGATGCGAGTGTAGGTTTGAAACCTAAGTAGTGATTTTGCAACAGATTTGCTGCGTCAATTACAGTACTCTGTTCGGGAGGTGGCATGAAATGCGAGGTTCATGGCACAAAATTAGCGCTAAACTTTGGCATCAGTTTTTTGGGGGGATCCAAAATTTTGGGGTCACACATTAATGGAGCTTGGAATTTGAAGTGGAGGTTCCCTTTAACTGTCTCTTTTGTTGAACTGTGCTGGCTTTTGCTACAGAGGAACCCAAACCAACTGGGGGTGTGTGTGTGTTTGAGTGTGTGTACATACATATGGCATAAGCACATCTGGGATTAAAAAGTACTTTCAGTGCTGGGTAGCTGCTTTAGTTGAGATTCCTTCATTGCAGGAGATTGGACTAGAGGACTCTCAGGGTTCCTTCCAAGCTTACGTTTCTATGATTCTACAGATGACCATGAGAATGTAGGAAGCTACTACAGTGGTACCTTGGTTCTCAAACTTAATCCATTTCGGAAATCCGTTCCAAAACCAAAGTGTTCCAAAACCAAGGCATGCTTTCCCATAGAAAGTAATGCAAAATGGAGTAATCCGTTCCAGACTTTTAAAAACAACCCCTAAAACAGCAATTTAACGCGAATTTTACTATCTAACAAGACCATTGATCCATAAAATGAAAACAATAAACAATGTACTGCAGTCAATCAATCAATCAATCAATCAGTAGCTGAACTGGGTTCCACACAGTCACACAAAAAAGGAGCCACAGAAACAAAAAGGCAAAATAAATAGCAAAAACAGACAGACCTCAGCATAACACTCAAAACGGAAGTGTGGCACTCAAATTGGAAGCGTAACACTCAAAACAGAACATATTCGGCTTCCGAAAAAAGTTCGCAAACTGGAACACTTACCTCTTGGTTTTGCAGTGTTTGAGTTCCAAGGTGTTTGAGAACCAAGGTACCGCTGTATTGGTCCACTCAACTCTTTATCATTCACACTGGCTGGTTTTGGCTCTTCAAAGTTTCAGGCAGGAGTCTCTGCCCGAGCCCACCAGGAGAAGCTATGGATTGTGCTTGGCACCTTCTGCACTGAAAGCAAATGAGTTCAGGACCTTTCCCAAATTCCCTATTAATTTCAGTTCCCCACATTTTTGTTCTGAGTGTATGCTTGATGGACAGATCTTCTGTGCTTGTGCAGGTTTTGCAGACTCTCCCAACCGGTCAGGGTTATACAGTGATAACTTCATCGGGATTCATTTCTCCTTTGCTTATGTTCACTCAGGCTGGAAGGTGTTAGTGATGGGTGGCCTTGGAAGACTTAAAAAGTGCTTTCAACAAATTTTCAACTAATTTGTGGAGGACGAGGCCACCTGTGGCTAGTAGTCAAGGTGTTCTGCCTCCACTGTTGGAGGCAGTACATCTCCAAATGCCAGTTGCTGGAGATCAGATGTGGGCAGAGTGCTATTTCACCCAGGTCCTGCTACTGAGCTTTCCATGGGCATCTGGTGGGTCACCATTGGTCTTAGAGTTCCTACAAATCCAGTAATCCGAATTGTCTGTTTAGGGGCATTGTTCTTTCTTCAGCATTTGAGAGGTTCTGGGTTCAAATCCCAGACAACTGTGGTGGGGACCAGCTGTCTTTACCATTAGGAGTTGTGGCTCTGAGGTAGAGCACCTGCTTTGCGTGGAGAAGATTTCAGGTTCATAGAATTGTGGAATCATGTTATAGATTGGCTTGAGAGCAGTACATGTGAAAAGGATCTAGGAGTCTTGGTTGACCACAAACTTGACATGAGCCAACAGTGTGACGCGGCAGCTAAAAAAGCCAATGCAATTCTGGGCTGCATCAATAGGAGTATAGCATCTAGATCAAGGGAAGTAATAGTGCCACTGTATTCTGCTCTGGTCAGACCTCACCTGGAGTACTGTGTCCAGTTCTGGGCACCACAGTTCAAGAAGGACACTGACAAACTGGAACGCGTCCAGAGGAGGGCAACCAAAATGGTCAAAGGCCTGGAAACGATGCCTTATGAGGAACGGCTAAGGAGCTGGGCATGTTTAGCCTGGAGAAGAGGAGGTTAAGGGGGTGATATGATAGCCATGTTCAAATATATAAAAGGATGTCACATAGAAGAGGGAGAAAGGTTGTTTCTGCTGCTCCAGAGAAGCGGACACGGAGCAATGGATCCAAACTACAAGAAAGAAGATTCCACCTAAACATTAGGAAGAACTTCCTGACAGTAAGAGCTGTTTGACAGTGGAATTTGCTGCCAAGGAGTGTGGTGGAGTCTCCTTCTTTGGAGGTCTTTAAGCAGAGGCTTGACAACCATATGTCAGGAGTGCTCTGATGGTGTTTCCTGCTTGGCAGGGGGTTGGACTCGATGGCCCTTGTGGTCTCTTCCAGCTCTATGATTCTATGATTCTATGATTCTATGAATAACGGAATCATAGAACTGTAGAGTTGGACGGGACCCCGAGCATCATCTAGTCCAGCCCCCTGCAATGCAGGAATCTCAGCTAAAGCATCCATGACAGATGGCCACCCAACCTCTGCTTAAAAACCTCCAAGGAAGGAGAGTCCACCACTTCCCGAGGGAGACCATTCCACTGTTGAACATCTCTTAATGTCAGAAAGTTCTTCCTGATGTTTAGTCAGAATCTCCTTCTTTGCAACTTGAAGCCATTGGTTTGAGTCCTACCCTCCAGAGCAGGAGAAAACAAGCTTGCTCCCTCTTCCATCTGACAGCCCTTGAGATATTTGAGGGTGGCAAGCATATCATGCCAGGGTCCAGTCTTTGGCATCCCCTATTAGAAACATCGGATGATGGAGAAAGCCTTTGAACCCTAGAGCAGGGATGGGGAACCTGACATGCTTCATATTTTGTTATTCTCCTCATCCCTGACTGACACCTTTTTCAGGTGGGAGCTGTAGTCCATTGACATCTGGAGGGCCACAGGTCTTCCACATCCCTGCCCCAGAGGGCCACTCCCAATCAGACTAGATGCATCTGGATTAAACAGACAAATAGCAGATTCCTAAGAAGAATACACGGGACGCGGGTGACACTTTGGTCTAAAGCACAGAGCCTAGGGCTTGCTGATCAGAAGGTTGGCGGTTCAAATCCACGAGACGGGGTGAGCTCCCGTTGCTCGGTCCCAGCTCCTGCCCACATAGCAGTTCAAAAGCACGTCAAAGTGCAAGTAGATAAATAGGTACCGCTCTGGCGGGAAGGTAAACGGTGTTTCCATGCGCTGCTCTGGTTTGCCAGAAGCGGCTTAATCATGCTGGCCACATGACCTGGAAACTGTCTGCGGACAAACGCCGGCTCCCTTGGTCTATAGAATGAGACAAGCGCACAACCCCAGAGTCGTCCACGACTGGACCTAACAGTTAGGGGTATCTTTTCCTTTAAAAAGAATGCACAGAGGGGCCGCAGCTTATTGATCATGCACATTTTTTTCATGTGCAGGTTTGATTCCTGGCACCTCCATGTAGAATAATATGGTAGCAGGAGATTGCTATGACTTTTGTGCCCTGCTTGTGGACGCTGTGGGGAGCAGGATCCTGGGCTACATTGGCTAGATCAGTTTCCCAACCTTTTTCTGACTGTGGCTCCCTTCTGACCATGCTTTCTTCCTGTGTCCCCCCCCCCATGGGTGTAGCCAAGGGGAGGCCGGGGCAGCTACATGACAAACGCCGGCTCCCTTGGGTTTAGCTAGCATGGTGCGGTGGTCTAAACCACTGAGCCTCTTGGGCTTGCTGATTGGAAGGTAAGCTTTTCGAATCCGCACAACGGGGTGAGCTCCCATTGCTTTGTTCCAGCTCCTGCCAACCTAGCAGTTCAAAAGCACACCAGTGCAAGTAGATAAATAGGTACCGCTGTGGCAGGAAGGTAAATGGTGTTTCCGTGTGCTCTGGCACTCGTCACGGTGTCCTGTTGTGTCAGAAGCGGTTTACTCATGCTGGTCACATGACCCAGAAAGCTGCCTGTGGATGAACACCGGCTCCCTCGGCCTGAAAGTGAGATAAGTGCCACAACCCCATAGTCGCCTTTGACTGGACTTAACCGTCCAGAGGTCCTTTACCATTTACCTAAACAGATACTTATGGGATGCCTGCAAGCAGTGCCTGAGCAAAATTGCACTCTCTCCATTTGTGGCTCTCAGCATGTGTCCTTTGACAGTGGAGGGAGAACACAGCCATTATGACAACTTCCTATCAGGTCTCCTCTTAGTCACCCCCCCCCCCAAATCCTAAACTTAAGATCTAGCCTAAGGGTGCATTCTTGGGATGGCTGAGACTGCATGATTACCCTGTTATCATCTATTGCAGCTGGCAGGTCCATTTAGAGCTATCTGAGCTCATCATGTTTGCTAGCCTCAGCGCCAAAAGCGATCTCTTATCATTTTTAATTACAGACCCCACTGAAGCAAGTTGCTGGGGACAATATGCATGCCAACTCCCCGCCATCGTGGCTCCTTATTTGTAAATTCTGTGGGTTGAATACACACTAAACCAGCTGCACTTAGTTCCCACTGACATCTATGCCCCTTAAGCCATGACTGCCTTGGGACAATAAATAAATAAATCCCAGTGCTTGGACGCAGAGCCTTAAAGCGCGGACCTCTGCCTGGAAAGAGCGAGGTGAAAGCTAAGTGTGGATCAGGCCTTAGTTGCACCTCGTTTCTACTGAACTCAAAGGGACTTAAGCTGTTATTGTCTCATTGCTTTCCATGGGCCGATCCAACCTGGATCCAACCACCAAAGGAGATGGCGTTGGACTTTTGGAGGAAGAGAGGAGAACTAGCCCTGCTGTACATCGGGGAGGGCTGTGTGGAGAGAGTCTCTTCCTTTAAATTCCTAGGAGTTTATCTCAGTGAAGACCTTACTTGGAAAATAAATACAACCCAGGTGGTTAAGAAAGTCCAACAGAGACTCCGTCTCCTCAGAGTATTGCGGAAGAATGATGTCAATCAACATTTGATGATCTCCTTCTACAATAGAAAGTGTCCTTTCATACTGCATCACGGTGTGGTACGCTGGTTTGACATCATTTGACAGGAAGTGCCTACAGAGGGTGGCGAATACAGCGCAAGATATTATGGGCTGTCCCGTGAATCCACTGGATGAAATAGTGGAAGAACGTTGCCTCAGGAGAGTGAGGAAAATTCTCAGGGATGATTCTCACCCCGGCCGGCACTTTCTTGATCTCCCTGCCCTCAGGCAGAAGATATAGAAGCATGATTAGTTGCACCAACAGGGTAAAGAACAGCTTCCATCCGTGGGCTGTTAGGCTGCTGAATGAAAGGATAACAACGGGGCAACTGACTTTCGGGTTTGGTGGGTGTGCGTCAGTAAATGAGGGGAATTAAGACTAAGAGAGCCGGGTGGGGGGTGCTCGTGTAATCTCACTGTATACAAGTTGTACAAGTGACAATAAAGTGTTTCAATATCTGTGGTGGGATTTGCAGTCACACAGGACGGTTCTTCCAGACAACCCATTTACTGAGCATTCACTTTGATTTGTTTACAGTGAGGTTAGACAGTGTTGGCTATTTATTGTATAATCATTGTGATCACACCCACACCCCCGCTAAGGAGGATAGATGACTTTACATCAAGAAAGAGTTATCCCACACTTTCCAGTGCATTTTCCTGTCCCTTTCCTTATTGTGAAAAGTCTAATTATTTTGAGAGGGTGGGGTGGGGAGTGGCTTTATTGCGCAAGAGCTCCCAATCAGCTGCAATTGAGAGAGGCAGCGTGGTGCAGTGGTTAGAGTGTCAGCCTGGGAGACCAGGCTTCAAAACGTCCCTTGGCCCCATGTTTGGGTAACCTGGGCCCAGTTGCCTAGTCTACCTCACAGGGTTGTTATGCGTGTTAAATGAGGATCATGTACACCGGGGGGCGGGGATGGAATTTAAATACTGTAAATAAGCGTGTAATCTGAATTTGCTATATGTGAGTGAACCCCACCAGAAAATAGTGACAGTCTGAAAGCATCCCATGTTACAGTGAGATCATCACTGTTGGAAACCTTCCAAAAACACAGCTCGTGGGGCGCAACCACCCCCCCATTTTATTTCTTAAAAGCCTTTGTCTCGCTTTTTCTCACTCAGCTTTTGAGCTCCCCCTGCCCTGAGAGTTTGTTGCCTGTGTCTTCTCTCTGGCGGGGAGAGTTCTGGTTTTGCACATGCCCTTTCTACATGTAATAATAATTTCTTCCTTGTTCTCTCTCCCCCCCCCCCCATTGCTTCCTTCAGCTGCTCTGGCTGTCTGTCAACGTGGGGCTCTTTTGGAAAACTTTCCGGATATATTATCGGGGGCCTCAGTATTACTATCTGCATCAGATGCTGGGGGTAAGTGGTAGATGTTCGCTCCCCCCCCTTCTCTCTCCCCTGCTCTCTTTCCTTGGGGCTCTGGGAACGAGAAGAAATGGAAAGTTTTGGCTAACTGGGAAGATTCGAGGCTTCTTGGTGACTCACGAGAAGGAGAAGGGGTGAATGTTGGGGAGGGGGGCAGAGGGGTTATGTAAGGGCAGGGGTGGGTGGGAGGGAAAGGAATAGGCTGGAAACTCTGTTTCTGTGTCTGAATTAAAGGAACGACTCTGTCCAGGGTCTGGGAAAAGAGAGCTCCCTGCCTGTCTGTTCTTCCCCAGCTCCCAGCTGCAGGCATCATTTTTGGACTCTGGCATGTGAACCCCACTCAGCGGATGGCTGGGCTTGCAACTGTTAGTCATGGTAACTTTAACCAACCTCGTGGGCCCGTTCCGGCGAGAGCACTTACAAGCCAGCTCTCCTGATGTATATTTCTCAAGGGAAAGGATCTTCGCTTCTTTTCTTTAAATAAAATGAACCTTCCCATCCTTTCCATCGTACTCTCACGAGTCCCGGTGCGGTTTTCTTTCGGAAAGCGCTGTCAGCCAAAAGAAAAAAAGGGAGGGGAAGTAGTCTACCCAGGATGTTTTAGCTAAAGATGGGGGAGAATTTTGATACAGCTTACATTTAAAGGTGGACGTACGTAATGCACACTTTTCTGGAACGACAATAATGGGGCGACGTTATTCCCGTTTTGCAGTTGGAATCAAGACTGAGAGACGGCTATTTACACCCCAGGCAAGATTCTTCCCTGATTGCTGTTTCTGCGTGTGTGTTTTGCAAGGAAACCTAGATGTTCAAATGTGCACGTGTTATTTGTGCTGCGCATGGGTTTTGCACTTCAAAGTCTCTTTGTTTATTGCACCTGTATTGAATAGAGCAGCGAAGGCATTGCTCGCTCAGTTTTAAACTCATCCTTTCACCCATTGGTGCTGCCTTCTTTTTAATTGCAATGTTTCTTTAAAAGCTTCAGGGCAGAAATCCAGGAAGAACAACTATTTCTTATGTGGAGGTATAATGAGAGCATCTTCACGTATTGGTTTTCTCCCTGTCACAAGGTGTCTCAAGGCACTTAAAAAAACCTGCCTTTAAAAAGCAACTGCCGCCCATGTCATCATAAGGCCTGGAAAGTTGATTTTTGTTTTTATTAACAGAAGTAAAAGTTCTGATGCATTTGTTGCACTGTGCAGCTTCTATGAGGCACAAAAACAAGGATAGAGGAACGTATCCTGTAATATTCAGATGCAGAAAACATTTCTGGTTTTTGTTTTTCTTTCTCATTGTGGATTTCTCTGGGGGGTGGGGAATGATGCTTTAGCCTCAGCTGCTAAGGTGCTCTGCAATGCTTGCTTGCTTTGGATTCAGTCCGCAGCACTTGGTGTGACTTACTTCTGAGCAAACACTCCTAGGATCGGGTTACAGTTCTCCCTTTCTTTAGGAAGGGAATAATTGCCCCTGTTTTGATTTCAGGCATTCCAGAGCCTTCTGAAATTCAAAGAGCCATTTCTGTTGTTATCCCTTGTGTGGGGGAGAAGAGAGGAGGCAGGCAGCACTCTTTTTGATGTATGTTGGGATTTCTGTTCAAAAATGGTTGTCTAAAGCAATATATATATATGGGATGGAGGGCTTCATATTCAGATCAAGCTATTTTACAACTGAAGTTGCTTTTGGACTGTGTTTCTGGCAAGGCCAGGTTGCACAATTATAGAATTAAAGAACTGTAGAATTGGGAGGGATGCAAAGGATCGTCTAGTCCAACCTCCTGAAATGCAGGAATCACACATAAAGAATCAGTGGTGTCCACATTTGCAAAAGTGTTATGTTATCTCAGTGTGGTGTAGTGGTTAAGAACGGTAGACTTGTAATCTGGTGAACCGGGTTCGCTTCCCCGTTCCTCCACATGCAGCTGCTGGGTGACCTTGGGCCAGCCACACTTCTTTGAAGTCTCTCAGCCTCACTCACATCACAGAGTGTTTGTTGTGGGGGAGGAAGGGAAAGAAGAATGTGAGCCGCTTTGAGACTCCTTCGGGTAGTGATAAAGCGGGATATCAAATCCAAACTCTTCTTCTTTTTCTTCTTCACATGAGATGGAAAAGGTGAAAAGCAGCTCAGCTTTTCTTGTAGGTTGTGATGATGTCTCTTTTCTTCTCCCACTCTTTTGGTCTTCCGATGATGATGATGATGATGATAATAATAATAATAATAATAATAATAATAATATAGCCATGGCTGTTTAAGGCCATATCATAGTGCTTTACATGTATGGTGTCAAAGTGGCCAGTGATGTAACAGCATGTAAAAGAAGACTGGGAGACAGTCCTTTGGCTGAGGAAAGTGGGATAGTCAAAATCTGGGGAAGGAGGTTTCTCCTTCAAAAGGGGCTGGAAAAGCAGCAAGAAAAGCATGGAATCTTGTCTTTCGTTCTGGCTTCAGCTCAACTGCATTTGCTTGTGTGTGTGATTTTCCTGTACAAGCCGAAGAACAGATTTGGCTTGGCGGGTAGAGAGCATAGGTTTGCAGCAGAGCCTTCTCCTTAGAGGCATAAGGCAGTGAGACAGAATGAACCGATTTGCTGGGTTTTCTCTATTTATTTTTAGCCGTGCTGGCTGGGGGCTGATGGGAACATCTGGAGGGCAACAGATTCCTCCATCCCCCTTGACAGGGTCCTCAAGCGCATACCGAGGGATAGCTCAGTCAGCAGAGCATGAGACTCTTTATCTCAGGGTCATGGGTTTGAGCCCCACACTGGGCAAAAAGATTGCTGCATTGCAGAAGGTTGCGCTAGAATTCAGCGGTTCTCAACCTGTGGGTCCCCAGATGTTGTTGGACTAGAACTCCCATCATTCCTGACCACTGGTCATGCTGGCTAGGAATGATGGGAGTTGTAGTCCAACAATATCTGGGGACCCACAGGTTGAGAAACACTGTGCTAGATCATCTCATGGCCCCTTCCAGCTCTATGATGAAGTATAATCTCAGATAAATTGTTATGTACCGAGTTGAATAGGATCCAAAATGCAGCAGTCTGATTGGTCCTAGAACAATAGGATCCAGAATGCAGCAGTCTGATTGGTCCTAGAACAATAGGATCCAGAATGCAGCAGTCTGATTAGTCCTAGAACAATAAGATTCAGAATGCAGCAGTCTGATTGGCCCTAGAACAATAGGATACAGAATGTAGCAGTCTGATTGGTCCACAGGAGCCACCCAATCCAGCTCCGGGTAGAAGTGAATCCGCAACCTGATTGGCCTACAGGAGAATCCTGGAATTAGCCAATCACGTGGGGCCCATTGTGTAAATAATGTATATAAAGCAGACATTCTGGGGGAGCTTCCATTCCTCCTCACCACCATGAGCTGAATAAAGAGCATGAAATCCACTCTCGACTCCGAGTATATATCATAAATAATCCCATTTCAGATGCTAATGGAGGGATTACTTGCTTTGCTTCAGGGTCCCAAACCCTCATTGCATGCCGGAAGGACACTTTTTAGGAAGCGATGCCACATATAGCTCTGCAGTTAGGAATGAAAAGCCTTCCTTTGTTTACACCACTGTCTTGCCGCTTCTCTGGAGAAAGCTTTCTCATTATGTCATAATTGCATCCTTTATTATCTTCTCGCCTGCAATATGGTCCAGATGTCCCATCAGTTTGCTGCCCCTTGATGGGATAGATAATAAGGAGGCCTCTGTACGTCCTTTTCTCCAACATGAGAGGAGCCTCGCTCTTCTCTGTGACCTCCACATCGTGGTGGTAGTGGGGAAATGGAAATGCTTTGTTCCTTGGTCCCCGTAGTACAAGGCTGGCTTTTGAAACAGTGGGGTGAAGGAGCACAGACCTAGACCCTCCCATATGTGTGTGTGTGTGTGTGTGTGTGTGTGTGTGTATATATATATATATATATATATATATATATATATAAACATACTTTTACATCTTACTCATTTTTTTTTGACTTCCATCAGTCCTGTCTGAAAAATTTCCAATCTAATCTTTTAGTATGCATTTCTTATTTTCCCTGTTACATTTCAAACTCATAACCAATACAGTGGTACCTCGGGTTACATACGCTTCAGGTTACAGACTCTGCTAACCCAGAAATAGTACCTCAGGTTAAGAACTTTGCTTCAGGATGAGAACAGAAATCGTGCTCTGGCGGCGCGGCAGCAGCAGGAGACCCCATTAGCTAAAGTGGTGCTTCAGGTTAAGAACAGTTTCAGGTTAAGAATGGACCTCTGGAACGAATTAAGTACTTAACCCGAGGTACCACTGTATATCTATCTTTTTCTACTTTGTAACACTTTGTATATTTCTCCTTACAAAACTTCTTGTAGTCCTACTAGCGTAATTTGTTGATTACAGTTGCTCTTCAAATAGTTCATATACTTCTTCCAATCTTCTGTAAATCTCTGGTCCTGCAGGTTTTGAATCCGTCCTGTCATTTTGTCCAATTCTGCATAGTCCATTAATTTCGCCTGCCATTCTTCTTTCGACCTAGACCCTCCCTCATTTTGCCAAATGAAGATAGGGACCTGCTTGCACTGCTCAGATTCTCACACTGAGAGAAACACTCTCACACTGCAGAGTCATAGACTCATACAGCGTTGTAGAATTGGAAGGGTCCAACTCTACAAGGGTCGTTTGGTCCAACCCCCTGCAATGCAAGGAATCTCAGCTAAAGCATCCATGACAGATGACCTTCCAACCTCTGCTTAGAAACCTCCAAGGAAGGAGAGTCCACCACCTTCCGAGGGAGACCATTCTGCTGTGGAACAGCTCTTACTATCAGAAAGTTCTTCCTGATGTTGAGTCGGAATCTCCTTCCTTGGAGCTTGAAGCCATTGGTCCGAGTCCTACCCTCCAGAGAAGGGGAGATCAGGTTTGCTCCATCCTCCATGTGAGAGCCCTTGAGATATTTGAAGGTGGCTGTCATATCTTCCCTCAGCCTCCTCTTTCCCAGGCTGAAAGACCCTACTCCAATAGTCTTCGACCTTTGCAGATGTGAGAGCCACATTTAGCCCCAACGGTGAATGGTGGGATTCATTTCTTTTTTCTTTTCTTTTCCCCCTCAAATTTTTTATAATTCATTTTATAACACAACTAAACAACACAAACAGAAAAACAAACAATACAAATTCTTGTCGTGTCCTTATTTTTTCTAAACATTGTTAGGTGAGCTTCCCCAAGTCCCCCTTATCTGATTTTCCTTTTACCTCATCTTTAGCAGTTTACATATATCATAATTTCTAACCTTTTTTTTATCACGCTTACTTTTACCATAAAAATCTTCACATTTTATCACTTACAAATAGTACTATTTTAAAATACACTATCTTCTACAGTGGTACCTCGGGTTAAGTACTTAATTCGTTCCGGAGGTCCGTTCTTAACCTGAAACTGTTCTTAACCTGAAGCACCACTTTAGCTAATGGGGCCTCCCGCTGCTGCCGCGCCACCTGAGCACGATTTCTGTTGTCATCCTGAAGCAAAGTTCTTAACCCGAGGTACTATTTCTGGGTTAGTGGAGTCTGTAACCTGAAGCGTATGGAACCCGAGGTACCACTGTACTTCTAACCCTACAGCCTATATCTACTTCCAGAGCTATTCTAAGATTTAAATATTAACATATTTTTCAAATATTCTTTAAACTTCCTAATTTGTTACCATGTGTGTGATAGTAAAGCCGTTGGGACAACTCACCACAGTTCGGACTGTGATGCAGATGCGGGTTTAGACCCGCTGGTTGTAGACTAATGCTTGTTCTCCTTTTTCTGTTTCTGGAGGGCAAGCCATGCAGCAAAAATAACAGAGCCTCATGGCACTTTAAAGATCAACACAGTTATGAACATTAGAAAGGCCCTGCTATAGCAGCCCAAAGGTCCATTCGAGGAAGGTCCATAGCTTAGTGGTAGAGCATCTGCTTTGCATGCAGAAGGTCCCAGGTTCAATCCCAGGCACCCCCAGGATGTTAAAAACAGACATCAATTAACCATTGTGGAAGGATGTATTCTTAATTGCCTGCATGTGCCCTCGGATGATTGACAGGTGGGCGACCCTGTAGTCAGAAAGTCAGTGTTTCAGGGGAAAGGTCCTTCTTCCTGACATAATCCTTTTCTGTCTGCACGGATGGCTCTGTAAAGCAGTCAGGCAACTAGAGCCCCTCCCCACTTCACAGTCTGAAATAATACAGCCAAGCCGGTTGCATTGCAGGATTCTGCCGAGTGCGTGTTTCGGCTCTGAATCTCCAAAAGGGTTGCATGCCTGCTGAACATCTTCCGTTGATGTTGGGAGTGGAGAGTGGCTGCAAATGCAATTTGAGGGTGCCTGGAAAGTGGATACGCAGGATCGCTTGTGGGTGGTGCAGACATGTGCTTGGACGCTGGGAATGCAAACATCCATGTGGATGTTCAGAGCAACAGTTTCCAGAGCAGGCACAAGCTTTGCCATTTGGCTTTCGGACTCCTCCAGGCAGCAGCTGTCCGTGGGATGCCGCGTGATCTCCCTTGGCCAGCACACTCTGAAGTACAGGAAGTTGGATCATGGCTGTGTGTGCCCTAGGACCTCTCCCTGAGATTTTAGCATTCATTAAAAGAAAAAGAAAAAAAGATTAAGCATCTGTAACCCTTTTGCTTTCCAGAAATCTATGGCAGGAATGGGGAACCTCTGGGTGCTTTAGAATTAGATGAATTCATAGAGGATCAGATTATGCATGGCTTCTAGCTATGCTTTGCTGCTATAGCAGGGGTCAGCAAACTTTTTCAGCAGGGGGCTGGTCCACTGTCCCTCAGACCTTGTGGGGGGGCCAGACTGTATTTTGGAAAAAAAATATGAACGAATTCCTATGCCCCACAAAGAACCCAGAGGTGCATTTTAAATAAAAGCACACCTTCTACTCATGTAAAAACACCAGGCAGGCCCCGCAAATAACCCAGAGATGCATTTTAAATAAAAGGCTACATTCTACGCATGTAAAAACATGCTGATTCCTGGACCATCCGCGGGCCGGATTTAGAAAGTGATTGGGCCAGATCCAGCCCCCGGGCCTAGTTTGCCTACCCATGTTCTATAGTTAGAGGTAGTAGTAGTTGTTGGCTTCCGTCCGTCTCGATATATAATGGAGTGCACCTCTGGGGGTGAAGTCAGAGGTATTGCCAAGCATGGTTACAAAGGAAACTTCCTAACACTAGCTGAAACTGTTTGTCCACCCAGTCCAGTATTTTCCTCTGTTGTGTGAATGACAGGAGCTCTCCAGGGTCTGGGGCAGGGAAGCGTCTATTCCAGAGGTGAGAAAGCTGTGGCTGATGATGCTTTTCTCCCAACTGCCATCAACTCCACCCAGCATGCACAATGGTGAGGGATGATGGGAGTTGGATTCCGGCAACATCTGGAGGACCATAGGTCCCTCACCCTGGTCTGTTTCATCCCCTGCTACCCTGAGTAACTGGAAATGGCTGGGATTGAACCTGGCACCTTCTGCATGCTAGAGAGATGTTCTGCCCCTGAGCTGCGGTCTCCCCACAGATCCTAAGATGTGACTTGTGGGCTCTTCTCAGCTTGGTGGCTTGGGAGCCTGAGCAGGCCTGCTTCTGACCCTTGCTGTTTTTGTTTAGCTAGGATTGTGCCTCAGCAGAGCTTCTGCATCGGTCCTGAACCTCAACTGCAGCCTGGTCCTCTTGCCCATGTGTCGGATTCTCTTATCCTTCCTCCGAGGATCTCGGAAGGTAAGAAAGAACCATGTGGGTATAGCTAGTGAGCTAGCACAAAGCCAATGGGAGGCTGCAGGTGACAAGCTCCCCTTCTGACCTTTGCTTTCAATTCCTTGTGGGGTGGCAGGGAGGTTGTATCACCACATTTAATGAGTCACTTTCATTGCAGTATCCCATCCCACCTCCAAGACACAATTTATGAGACACCTGGATGCTCAAGGCTGAAGATGCTATGTGTGAGCTAACTGAAGATTAAAGACATACTCAGAGGACAGGGATGGGGTTCCTGTATCCCCCCAAATATCTCTGGGCTCCAGCTACAGCCAGGAAGGCTAATGATCAGGGAAGAGCTTCTGACAATGACCTCTGTGTACACTAGTGGTGGGGAACTGGTGATCCTCTTGAGTAGAGCTGGGTGTGCTGGGCCCGGGGGTAACCCATGAAACACGGTCCAAGACCGGACCAGAATCTGAAGGTTCCGCTAGGAGTCAGTCCGACAGGGCCAAGGCAGGAGACAAGGCAGGAAACCAGGCAGACAGGTACAGGATCTCAGGCAGGATGTAACATACAGCAATGTTGCTCCTGCAACCTGGGGCGGGGTCCAACAGCCTTTTATCTTCGTCGGGGTAGCGGCCGGTCCTGATCCTCTGGCGACTCACCTCCCTGTTTCACCCAAAGGTGAGCACTCCTCCTGCAAGTACTCAGGTCTCTCTTTCTCTCAGACCTTAGTATCTACAGCTCGGGAGACGTCGGTGGGTTACTAGACCCAGGGGCCACCTCAGCCTCCCCTGACCCAACCAGTAGTGGAGCAGCTGTAAGTGATGGCCCAGCTGAAGGCAACAAGTTAATCCCCGCATCTGGAGCCAGGGCAGGCTCAGGCCCCTGACTCGGCCCAGCTGGTGTTTGTTGCAGGGGAACCTGTGCAGACTGGGGCTCTTCAGGATCAGACCCCAGACTTGGTTCAGATGATGCCTGAGGCAAAGGATTTGGTGCAGACTGAGACTCCTGTGGTTCCGAGTCTGAGCCCGAGTCCCAGGCCATCACACTGGGGGACCTTTGGCCCTCCAGATGTTATGCAACTGTCTCCACCCTTGAGCATTGGTTGTGCTGGTGGGGCTGATGGGAGTTGGAGTCCAGCCTTACTCCAGAGCACTGTTCCTCAACGATTAGTCCTCAGGTGTGTTTCGACTACAACTCTCATCATCCACAGATAACTTAGCCAGTGGTCAGGGAGGATAGGAGCTGTTGTCCAACAACACTTGCAGTCCCAAGATTGGAAGACTCTGCTCTTAGAGCAAGGTTGGGGAACCTTTGGCCCTCCAGGTGTCATTGGAATACAGTTTTCATAATCCCCATCCAATGCAGCCACTGGTCTACATCTGACAGGAGCTGTAGTTCAACAGGGAGCAGGGATGTGGCCTTCCAGATGTTGTTGGACTCATCCCTGACCATTGGTCTTTCTTGTTTGGACTGATGGGATCTGTTTAGTCCAGCATCTGGAGAGCCACAGGTTAGACCAAGAGTGTGCAGGCTTCAGACTTGTTTTGCCCAAGAGCCTTGGGATCCACCAACCAGCTGCAAGAGACCATACACTGAGAATTCACTGTGCCCGTGAATTCCTTTTGAGTACCAGAGCTGAAGAGAACTCACAGCCCTCCTCTAAAAATAAAATAAACCCCAGCTTCCTTCACTTCATCAATATAATTTAAGGTGCAGTGGAGGGGATTCATTTTTATTGCTGCTTTAGTTGCGCAACCGGGACTCAGAAATCCTTGCTGATCTACTGCAAATCACCTCAATATTTACCAGGAGAGCTGGGTCTGTCTTCTTCCCACAAACTGCTGATTCACTTTGAGGCGAGAACCGCTGGCTTACTTGCGGACATCTTTTTCCAGGTGGCAAGCCGAAAAACCAGGAGGCTTCTGGACAAAAGCAAAACGTTCCATGTGACGTGTGGTGTGACAATATGCGTCTTTTCGGGTATGTTCCTCTGTAGACATAAGCAGCAGCTCTCGCTAGGAAGTCCACTAAACATTACAAGTGACTGTGGCTTTTCTTCAGATGTACACAATGGGGTAGCCTCTTTCCACACTTCTTCTTACCAACCTATGAGAGTTTTCTCAGATTTGCCGGTGTCTCTGAGGAGGAGGTCTGCATCTGGGCACATGGGGAGTCCAAGCTCGGCAGAGTTGTCTTTGATACTGCGCATGAAATCCTGCTGAAAGCTTGCTGGTGTAGAACGGATATCAGTGTGCATCCAATTTAAATCATGCAGCGTGGATGTCAGTTCACTTTCCAATCGAGGACTGAAAGCCCTTCAAAATAGTGGGCCAAAGTAGGGGACGTGGTAACCCTCCCTTTAGGGCAGGGGTGGGGGACCTCAGCCCTGGAGCACCCCCAGTTCTTGAGCCCAATTCAAAGTGCTGGTGCTAGAGCCTTACACGGCTCAGGACCTCAGTACCTTAAGGATCACCTCTCCCCATACGAACCGACCCAGTCCCTGCGTTTGTCATCCGAGGCCCTTCCCTATGCCCCCTGACCCTGAGAGGTTCAGAGGGTGGCAAGATGAGCAGGGGCCATTTTGGTGGTGGCTCCCCGACTGTGGAATGGTGCCAGGTGAAAACATTCCTTTGGCGTTTGGCCATTAAATAATCTATGATCTGTTAAAGCTAGAGTGGGGGCCTGTTACAGTGGTACCTCGGATTACATACGCTTCAGGTTACAGACTCCGCTAACCCAGAAATAGTACCTCGGGTTAAGAACTTGGCTTCAGGATGAGAACAGAAATCATGCTCCAGCTGTGTGGCGGCAGCAGGAGGCCCCATTAGCTAAAGTGGTGCTTCAGGTTAAGAACAGTTTCAGGTTAAGAACGGACCTCTGGAACGAATTAAGTTCTTAACCCGAGGTACCTCTGTACTATGATTGCTTTATTATTAGGCTGCCTATTATTATGCTTTTATTATGTTTTTATCATTGTGCTCCATAAAATGTGTTCTTAATGTTGTACACTGCCCTGGGATCTTTTGATAAAGGGCAGTATATAAACTTAATAGATAATGATGATGATGATAAAAAATTATAATACAGTGGTAACTTGGTTTACAACCATAATCCATTCCTGAGGTCCATTTGTAAACCAAAACAGGTTGTTACCCAATGCACGCTTTCGCCAATGGGGCCTCCAAAATAAATTTGTTCGTAATAATAAAAAAAATGGGTTGTAATCCAAAAAAAGGTTGCAAACCGGGACACAAACTTCCAGGT